GGGCTGAGAGGGCCAGCTTCACTAAGGCAGGGTGGCATTGCAGGACGCAGGCCAGGACAGGGCCTCCTAATGCCTCCCTGCTGAAGTGAAGGTCGCCAGCCCCAGAGGAAGGTAAACCTGACAACCACCCCGCAGCCGGCTTTGTCACAAAAACTGAGCCACAGCTGGCAGATTAGCTCAGCTGGTTAGAGTGTGGTGCTGATAACACCAAGTTCCAGGGTTCAATCCCTCTACTGGCCAGCAAAAAAAAAATAATAATCTGCTAGAAAGGCTGAACCAGGGAGAACAGACACCTGATGGAGCCTGCCCCAGCAGACCCTGAGCCGTGTACTTTCCAGAGACTGGAATCACCAGGCCGCCCGCCACCCCAGGGTGCAGCAGGAGCCCCGCTGCTTCCCAGACACAGGTGGAGGAGCCGTTTTCCTGAACATATTCTCTCTCCTAATCCCCAAAACAGCCCTGTGAAGTACACCCTATAAACATTTTAGGTGTTAAGATGAGTAAATGAGTAAGAACTAAAACAGGTAAGGTTGACCTGTGAGTAAGTAGAACAGGCAGCAGAGCATAACATAAAATACCTGTTATCAAATAAAAAATACTTTCTCTAGGAAATTCTAAACCACTTGGGCAAAGATGTACTTGAGATTTTATTCTAGAGTTTAAAGAGGAGGCACCCAGTACTTGAAATAATTTGAACATTCCAAAGGTCTTTCTAGTCTCTGAATTCTATTCTGTACAGTATTTCTTTCTTCCACTGCATGATTAAGGTTTTGATTTTTATATAAAACAAAGTCCCAGAGAGTTCAAAGAGGAGTGTTCACAAAAATAAAAGGCAAGAGGCGTCAATATTAATAAAGCTAAACTAAAAAGATATTGAATAACCTTTGTGAAAATAATAACAATGACTAATTCAATCCAAACAACTAGGTCACGCTCAAATTCCAGTAATTCTAAAACTTAGCTATAACAAGGCAAGAATTTTGCTTTGCTTCAGTGGTCAAAATGAAGGACCCATTCAAGGGCAAGACCAGTAATACAGGCACTAGTGGAAACGCTAGAGGAACGTTTTGGGGGGTGGGGGAGTTGGAAAGCAGAACAAAAAGCAAAATGATCACTACAGTACTACCTGGGAGTTACAAAGAGTATGTGAATAACAAAGAAGAAAAGATATTTCTCCCCAAAGACAAAACAATCACTCGGCAAACATCTGAGAGACGCTCACGCAGGCTACAAAGCCTCAGGCGTGTCTCCTGCTCAGAGGAAGCAAGTGAACAACCTCATCAAAGAGATACTGTGACAAAAACAAACACCAGCAGAACAAGTCAGAATATGCTGAGCGCTGTCCCAGAGGCAGGCACTGTGCACAAGGCACCGAGGGAGGGCCAAAGGCACCTGGTGGGAGACAGAAAGGGCATCGAGTTACCGAGCCAATGAAAGACACGAAAGTTAAAGAAAACCATGTAACTAATTCTCTGTCTTCGGATTTGGGTTGCTTTCCCATTATTCTTAATAATTTTGATCTTTAATAATTTGGAGAGTAGGATATTGGTGGAAGTTTGCATTCAACACAGGTGCCACTCACTAAGGCAATCTTCCAATTTAGAAATGCGCAGCATTCGTTCAGCCGCTTCAATGGAGTATCAAAGCACTAGAATCCTGCTGCAGGCCTGTGTTCCAGCAGCCACATCCTACTCAATATACCACGTGGTGTCCAACCTCAGGAGTACTCAGCTTTTCTGGTTTAGATGTCCTATTGGTAGAACACAATAAAAGCACAAATAAATATCCCACAAGAAGAAACTTGCTCTAGGACAAGAACACAGGGCCAAGTAACAAGAAGGAAAAGAGAAAAAGGAAGGGAAGCCTGGCTAACAGATGTAGCAATAAGTCAGTACTTGGAGCAAACAAGTAAGGACTTCCACAAAGACATTTAAGCTTCATCATAGGCCTTTTTTGAGTTTCCAAAAGAATCTCCTGTCACTCAACCCACTCATCTTAAATAAGACAAATAGGTAACCTCTCTGACAATGTGATTAGATCTTTTTACAAGAACTTTTAAAGTCAGTGGTTGCTGGCTGAGGATTTTCCAAAACATTATATTTCTTGTGTAAGCCAAAATAAGAAAAGAGAAATGTAGCATTACACTTCCCTCGGCCAAGTACATTAGTGCAGCTCGGGCCAGAAAATTCAATAGGATAGGGCCAAAACAGGCCTTCTACATAAAAATATTTTAAAAGATATTAATGCAACTTCACATCTCTTTTATATAAAATCCAGGGAGACAGTAATTTGCTGTTTACACTTAGTGTAATGTCCCAAAGTTGTAAAAATTAAAAATCCAGTTTTTTCACCATTGTATATAAAATTGTCAGTTTACAGAACTTGATACCTAAACGTAAGACTAAGTAACCAACTTTTTTAATGTCCCCAAAAAGCAAAACGACTTCTTAAAAAGACAAAAGGCTATCAATAGGTTACTCCTGAATTAAAATATAATCTAGAAACTCAACAAGTGTATTTTTAATGTATGCCCTAACTAATTAAACACCCAACATCATAATTCTGTTCCTCCATCACCTTCTAGCTTTTATTTTAGCTGTTACCAAGTCTTTCTGAATTGTGATAAATACTAACCAATGATGGCTATCACAGAAAAATATAAAAGAGGAAAACGTGTTCTTTTTCTTCTCATCTTAATGTAATGAAAAATGTACTGTAATCGTCTTTTCCCACAACTCTGTGCCCTTTGCTACTTTTGAAAGAAATGTAGTCCTAAACGAATCAAAAGAGATGTTATTTCTCTGACTACAAGTAAGACAGAAATGTATAGTCTGTATTATAAAAACACATGATGACTTATTGCTACTCAATATACAAGATAATAATTGTTCAACCATCTGTTTTCCACGTTGAAAAAATAATCTCTTCCTTACAGCCTGGATTGCAAGCCAAGTGTGCCTCACTTGAAAGGCAAATAAGCAGAACAGCAGCAAGAGAGCGGGCTTGCCTCTGCATCTCAGTTCAAGTTGTTTGTGGATTTTAGGACTGTTAAAAATCAAAAATAAAGAGCTGAGGTTAGGGAGAAATCCAGCCTCACTGTTTACTCCACGAAGTACTGGTAGTTCCTCTGCACAGATCTTCATTTGTTCAATAACCTACGTCTTTCCCTTTGTTGTTGATAACATTAGTTATTAATGCTCCATCTTTGGATGGCGAATTGGCCTGAGGTAGCTCCTTCAATAAACTACCCTGTGAATACTAACTCCCAACCACTGTATTCAATTTACTAACACAATAAAGAAGTGTTCTGCTTGCATGAATATAATACAATGGCAAATATAAAACAAACTGAAGAGTCTACCAACTCACAAGACACCAGATAAGGTTCAGTTGACTGGTAACTGAATACGGTGGCTTTTCTCAAGCTGAAGAATAAACTCAGTCTAGATCTAGGGCAACGGAAAGACGTCACCTTCGGAAATATTGGTATCCAGTGCCTTCCTGATACTATTACCAGCTGCATTCTGTTGGCACTGGGACCAGGACAAAGATCATAGTCTTCTATTTCACCACCCCTGCTTGTACGTGGGGACGGGTGACTGAGGTGAGAAACTCACAGTGATACTGTGGTTGTTCCGTTTGAGCTTAAGACACTTGCAATGTTGTTAACCAAGCCTGCTCCACAAAAAAAAATCAGTTGTTTAAAGAAGAACTACAAAGGATGAGTAAAGGGACGCTTTCTTAATAAAGACTCTCTTGATACCAATTAACCAGGCTCAAAAATTCCCAGACAAGGAAAACTATGGAGACAATTAAAAGTTCAGTGGTTGCCGGGGTTGGGGGACTGAGGGAGGGAGGTTAGGGATGACTAAGGGGGAGCACGGAAGATGTTTAGGGCAGTGAAACTACTCTATATGATACTAGAGTGATGGACATATGTCATCACACATTTGTCCAAACCCACAGAATGTACAACACCCAGAGTGACACCTAATGTAAACTATGAACTTTGGGTGCTAATGATGTGTCAGTGACATCACAAAAGTGCCACTCTGGTAGGGACACTGATAATGGGGGAGGCTGTGTATGTGGGAGGGCAGGGGTTATAAGGGAAATCCTCGTACCTTCTGCTCAGTGTTGCTGTGAATCTAAAATTACTCTAAAAAAAAAGTCTTCTAAAAAAAAAATCCTAGACCACTAGTCCTAGAATTCACCCAGCAGCCTATAATGGTTTAAGAAAGAAAGGAAAAAAAAAAAACGTGTTAGAAAACACACCCCACAAGAGAAAAGTCTTGTCAGCTTTTTGCCCCTTACATCTCTTACAAAGCACAGTCAGGAAGCTCCATTCTCTTAACACTTAGCAAAAACCAACCTTAAGACTAAGCTCAAAATTACCAAGAAATACCCAAGGAAAGTCCCCTCAGAGGTTTCAGTAATCTCCCTCTCCTGCCCTAGAGCGGCTTGGGTGAAACAGGATTTAGTCACGCTCCACAGCTTGAAATTTTTGTCTTTACTCACTCAGCCACCCAACTATAAAACATTCTTCCCTGGAATTTCTTAAGAAAAGTGAACAATGATTTTTACTTTATGATTACCCTGAACTTAAACAAAAGAACATCACAATAAACACAAACTCCTCCCTTCAAGACGTGTCTAATACACGTTACAGACAAGGCTGGGCAAGAGGCTAACGCCAGACACTCCCCAGCTTCTGATCAACCCCCTGAAACTTCCTTCCACGCAACGTGGGCTACATTGAGAAGAAAAAGGAGATGGAAAATGTTCTGAATGCAGCCTACCTTGGAAGCCTGAGACTTTTAGGAGAGCATGACACCTGTGACTGACTGTGTTTCATATTGCTCAAGTACTGACCGCCGTTGGCTCATCCCCGATTCTCTCTATACTTACCTTGAAAAGCTTTCTTGGAGAACCTATGAGGTTAAGTAAATATTCTGCCAAATGAAAACCAACTATCTCCAAAAATGCATCTGAACACACACCACAGAAGAACTTCCTCTCTCCACTTACCTGGGAAAGCATGTGGATTGGGCGACCCTCTCTTAAGGCACTTAGAACAGAGAATGTGCACGGTGTAGTGCAGTCCAGGCCATTCCTGAAGAAGGACATTCAGTTCCTCTACCAAGGGGGTTATGGCTTGCCATGCGGTCCATATATTTGGTAATGATGCATGGCTGGCAATGGAGAGGGTGTCTGGCTGCAGGACCCCCTTGGCAGGTCTGTAACTCACCACCACAGGAACTTTCCCTCTATATGCAAAGATCTGAAATTTACCATCCGACCTGTGCACCACATGGCTGTTGATCTGGACACTGTAGCGTGCAAACAACCCAGGTGGAAAGGTAAAAGGAAAACAATATTCAATCTGCAACTGCTCAGCCACAAAAGACTGCCCAGATAGGTTGGTCCCATTAATCCAGGCCTCTGCATGGGGCACCTCGTTCTGCACGTAGCATGGAAACTTGTACCAGGCCGTGGACCCATTCAAAGGCTTGCCCTTGGGTTTATTGAGGCAATAACAGAGTCCCATCTTCTCCAGCAGCTCCAGCAGCAGCTGCAAGTCCTGCTGGGCCTGGACATGAGGCTTAAGCAGCAACCGAATGACATGGGCTGGCAAGAGCCCATGCAGCAGAAAGCCCTCCACATAATGATGGAGCTGGGTGGCAGGGAGCAGGTCCTGGCTCGGGGTGGGAAGCGCCATCACTGGAGAGCTTTCCCCCTCGCCCTCTCCACTGGTCCCTAGGAGTAGTTTATGCAGCAGCAAGGAAGCATCCCTCTGGAAGAAGACATTGAGGATGTCGATGAGGCGGGTGAGGTTGTGGAAGACGTGCTCTTTGAGGGCTGGGCTGTCCTCAAAGTAGAGCAGCTTGCCGCTCTCATGCAGGTAGGAAAGGGCACTCTGCAGCCGGTCCTCGGTCAGACCCGCCTGCAGGCCCAAGCGCGCCGAGTCCCACCAGCTCAGCCAAAGTCGCTGTGCCTGTGGTGGCTGGAAATGCAGTTCCTCCAGCACCTGCCAGGATCGAGGCAGTACTCTGTGTAAGTTGGGGAAGATTTCTCGGTGCTCAGCTACCGAGAGGAGCTTATCCCGAAGGCGTTGCAATTGGCGGGGGTCCCTGCAGCTAACAGGCAACACCGGGGAGAGGATCTGCAGCCTGTGGTTAAGCAGGTACTGAAAATGGGCCTTGCGCCTGCGAAGGTTCTTGTCTGAAACACCATAGTAGGCTGCATGGGGGCTGGCAGAGCGCAGCTCGAAGTCTCGGGCCAGTGCCTCGTCGACCACCTGAGCTAGACGGCTCAGCCCCTCCGCATCATGCTTTTCCTGCAGGGCTATCTGGCGGTGAATGTCCAGACACTTTTCCTCCAGCTCCCGCTCCCCGCACAGGTCTGCGTGTGTGCCCACGATGCACACCACGGCATGAGGCACCCGCGCCCCTACCCGATGCAAAAAGGAGCCCACGGCGGTGGGAAAGCGGCGCGGCTCATAGGTTGCCAAGTTGACCACCAGTACATACAGGGCCCCTGGGGAGAGAAAGAAGGGCTGGATCACCTCGTAACTTTCATCACCAGCCAAGTCATACACGATGAACCGCAGGCCCCGGGAGGCGTCGGCCGTCCAGCTAGTCACCTCGATGCCCTTGCTCCCGGGGGCAGGGGAAGGTGGGTAGCTCTGGTCCTTGTCCCCTCCTCCTTGGCTTCCCTCCACCCTCTCCTCAGTGAGGCAGTGTCGGAGCAGGGTCTTTCCCGCACCCTTATGGCCCATCAGGAGCAGCTTGAGGCGGGGCTGCACGGCAGGCTGGGAGTGAGCCAGCTCCTTCTGGTAGGCTGCGATGTAGGGGATCCCCTTCATACAGACCTCGTAGGGGGGCTGGATCAGTGGGTTGTCCTTGATCTTCCACAGGCCCACGTGGGAGAGCTGGCCAAAGTTGTCCGGCAGCACGGCGATCTGGTTGCCTTGCAGCACGAGCTCCTCCAGGCCAGTCAGCTCCACAATGGAGTCCGGCAGGTAGCGGATGCGGTTGTTGTCCAGCCACAGGGTGAGCAGCCGGCCCAGCCCAGAGATAAGGGATGGCACTGACGTGAGCTGGTTGCGACTCAGGTAGAGCTCCTCCAGGCCAGCCAGGGGCAGCAGCGCGGCAGGGAACTCCTCGAAGAGGTTAGATGAGAGGTTGAGCATTTTGAGCCGTTGCAGGCTGCTGAACTGGGCGGGCAGAGCCTGCAGCCCGTTGTTGTCTAGCATGAGACTCTCCAAACTGGCCAGCTCACAGAAGCCGCTGGGCAGCGTGCCCAGCTCGGCCCCACTCAGCCAGAGGATCTTGAGGGCACGCAGGGCGCTGATATCCTCAGGCAGACTCCGCAGCCGGTTGCTGGACACGTCCAGCTCCTCCAGGACCGCCAGCTGCAGCAGCTGCCGGGGAAAGGCGGTGAGCTGGTTGTGGTCCACGTCGAGGGTGCGCAGGCGGTAGAGGCAGGACAGGGAGTCAGGCAGGTGCGCCAGCCGGTTAAAGCTGACATCCAGCTCCTCCAGGTGGGCGAGGGCGCCGAGCTGGGCGGGCAGGGCGGGCAGCTGGTTGTGGCTGAGGTTGAGCTTGCGCAGCTCCCTTAGAGCACTCACCACCTCGGCGCCCAGGGCGGTCAGCCGGTTATGGCTCACGTCCAGCTCGGTGAGGTGGTGGCCGAGTTCGGCCACCGCCGAGGGCAGCCGGCCGAAGCGGTTCCTGCGCAGGACCAGGACGCGCAGGCTGCCCAGCGCCGACCCCAGCCCGTCGGGCACCTCCTCCAGGCCGTTGTTCCCCAGGTTCAGCACCTCAATGTCGCCGATGGTGGCCGGCAGCACGAGCTGGGGGGTGTCGGGGGACTCGAGCGGGTCGGCTCCGGCCCCGGGGCAGCCCCCGGCCGCGCTGAGGGTGAGCTGGCGCAGGTTGCTCCGCAGCTTCCTGGCGCGCAGGGCGGCGTC